AGGAGCTCTCATTGTGGCTCCAGCTTGAAGTCCTCTGTTCGCCTTGTTATTGCTTGTTTGCAGGAAATTTGGTTTGAGTGGTGAAAAATAAAGATGGAATCTGCAGGAATGTTAACAAAGTGCAGTAAACATGAATCTGCATGAAGATAGATAGATACCTCTGCTATCGACGCCCAACAATTCCTGGATTTCTTTCCAATCTGTATTCTGCTGAATAAATACCTAAAGAGTATGATTGTTGATGAGTTGTAACTCTACTAGTGACACTAAGCTGTATGGTTTGTGTATATATATATATGTATGTATGTATTATAGATAGTTCAATTATTATTGCATGATGATCAATAAATATCTATTGCAATAACATAACCAATTTAAAGTGTTTAATCAACAATTAGATCTATTCCTTCTTTAGTTCTTTTGAAAATCCCTCCCAAGAAATCATTTCTCAAAAAATGCACTAATTACTACTATTAGGTTTCCAAAAACTTCAAATATGATTATGTTGATAACAAAATTCCACCACTTAGTTGATGCTCAATTTATCATGTGAATTATAGCCTTAAATAATTAACTAGAATTTTGCCTGTGTTTTAGCACGATTTTTTTTATTTATTAAGAAATTATACAATTGTGAGTAATTTAAATATAAAAAGTAACAATAGTTCTACATTTTCATTCATTTAAGGCTATAAGTTTTATTTTATGCTCAATTTATCATGTGAATTATTGCCTTAAATAATTAATTACTCCAACAATTATTTAAAAAAAAACGTGTGAAATAGTTTAGTTGATCCCATAAAACAAAATAAATTAAAAAAGATAAAACTCCCTCACTAGTCACTACCGCAGTCCCATTTCCGACTGGATAAGAGAACTCAAAGCACTAGAATTCGTACCTCTTCCCTTCCCACCACCGTCTTCCTCAGCCATGCCCGCCATCTCTTCCCTCTCTTCCTCCTTCTCCTCCCTCACCCTCAAGCCCCCCAATCCCAGCTCCCATGGAACCCCCAATGCCCCACTCTCCTTCACTCTCCGCTCTTCTTTCATCCCACTTTACAAAGCTCCCATTTCTAAATCATCATCTTCGTCATCCCTTTCTCTCCCTTCATCCCATTCAGCTCCACTCCCCCTCATCACGTCCTCCATGGAAGCCGGCATCGGCGTGATGGGGACAAAGCTCGGCATGATGTCGTGTTTCGAGGAGTCAGGAACTGTTGTGCCTGTGACTGTAATTGGGTTCAGGGAGGGGAACATTGTTACTCAGGTGAAAACTGAGGCGACTGATGGATACAATGCTGTTCAGGTGGGCTATCGCCGCGTGCGGGATAGGAAATTGACTAAGCCCGAGATGGGACATCTTGAAAAATCTGGGATTATTCCGTTGAGGCATTTGCAGGAGTTTAGGCTGCAGAGTGTGGAGGGGTTTGAGCCCAATCAACGCCTTGTGCTTGATGAATTGTTCAAGGAAGGGGATTTGGTGGATGTTTCTGGGACCACTATTGGCAAAGGATTCCAAGGTAATTATCCAATGTGTTTGCTTGAATTAAGCTTCTTCTTGATTTGATAAAATGCTTTGGTTGGAAATCACAAGAATTATTCTCAGGAGAGGAGAAACAACGAAACCTATAGCTTGTCATACAGATAATTGATATTTGAGGGACATTAGCTTGGTGGTTGTCTACTACTTTAGCAAAAATGGTGCTTCATTTTCCTGCACTTTATGAACGTATGACAAGCAAAGAGTTTTGGTTTTTTACCACTCATGCTGAGAAGGGTTGGGACCTGGGAAGTATCCCAATTAGTTAATTGGCTTGTTATAGGGATATTTAATTCGATGCCATTGTCTCGCAAAAGCCCTGATAAGAAGGGGTAAAATACACACACTGGTTATAGTTTAATGGACAGAATGGGTTTGGAAGGATTCCAACTGAGATTAATTCCTTTCGATGTTCAGTTAGATGCTAGCATTATTTTTAAAGTTCTAAAAGTTTTATCTTGATTGGTCGTCTTTTGTCACATTACTAATTCCTGGCAGATTAAACCTCAATAAAAGGATAATGACACACTATTTTCTGGTCCATATATGTGTACATCAGCACATTAGCACTTGGTGAGGTGAATGCAGCCAAGTTTATAACTTTGGAAGTTCAGTGTAATTAAATTAAATCTCAAATCGTTGCTTTTTTTTTTTTTTTGGGTGCTTGCTCTTGGTTGTCATTTTATTGTGTCCATTATTTCATTAGTGAATAAAATTTCTGCCAGCTTTTAATAATATGCAGTATCATGCTTTACCTTTGTGGTATTTGAGTAAGTGACGTGCTTCAATTTGGTACGAGTCATTTTTTATTAGTGGAAAATAAGCAATCTTAAGTTTACCTTGCGGGAAGCACACTAAGTCCATATGTTTGGGATAGACATGGATTATGGAGGATGAGACTTCTATACTCATAAACATGAGGATTACTATGTGAAGAATGGACAAACCAAGTACAAGGGGCATTGATAAGGAAAGGAAGAAAAGGATGTTAAATGTATAAGGCCTATGTATAAGACCTTCAACATCTGGCTTCTCAAGGTTTCAGATTGATATGATTAGTTTCTTAAGGACCCTGATTTTTTTGGAATTGTTGTCAGATTGCATTTTGCCTTAGCTACAATTGTGGTTGTGCTTATGTTTTGTCAGCTTGCCTGATCTGCCTCAGTTTATAGTTTATCACAATGCACAGTATACACACATATTAATGTTATTGTTAAGTGGAAGTCGTGAGAAAATTGTTTCTTCTTCTTTTGTTGTTTTCCTTTAAAATCTGTTTGATACTCATTTTGTACCTGGTAGCTTGGCATCAAAGATTCTTGGGGGGTTGATTAGTTTAAAAAAAGGGAACTTGACACCATTGGCAGAAGACTTTTCCCCTTTTTTTTGTTCTTCATGGAACATATCAACGAAAAATCAAGTTTATGTGGGTTTAACCCATTATGGCAGCTGGTAACTTTTAACTTCTTATTACATCACAATAATGTGCGGATAAGCTGATATAATCTGTTTATGACAATCTAACACCAGCTGGATTTCCATAATACTCCATTTAGTTTACCTGTAATTTGGTTGTCGCTATTAATGTGATCACATTGAAAACAAATTCCTCTGTTTCATTGCTAATATTCATCATTTATAACAAATTTTAGGGAATGGTTGTCTCATGTTTCACATAGCCAAGGTTTAGTGTTTCTCCACATCAGCATAACACACTATTTTGTTGTAGGACAAATTTTAGTTGTCCTTAGAATGTTATAAACAAGTATGGTCCTTCTGGCCAAGGATTTTGCAATTCATTGCTATCCAGATGAAAAATGTTTGCAGTGTTTAGTTCATTCTTATCATTCTTGTGCTTCCCTATTTGTTATTGGTGTCATTCTTGGCGCTTCTGTTTTAAGTTTGCTATCTGCGTTTAGTCATGTTGTGGGACGTGACTCTTGACTTGAGCATTTTAAATTTGGCTACTAGGTGGAATCAAGAGACACAACTTCAAGAGAGGCCAAATGGCACACGGATCGAAGAGTCATAGGGCACTTGGATCAATTGGTGCTGGAACAACTCCTGGACGGGTATACAAGGGAAAGAAAATGCCTGGAAGAATGGGAGGTACCAAGAGAAAGATAAGGAAGCTGAAAATTATCAAGATCGATAATGAGCTTAGAATTGTGATGGTTAAAGGTGCTGTACCTGGTAAGCCAGGAAACCTTCTCCGCATAACTCCAGCAAAAATCGTTGGAGTGAATATACCCAAGAACTAGCTCTCTCTCTCTCTCTCTTTCTCATGACTTAAATCTCTGTAATTTACATATTAGTCCCAAGCTTACTCCCAGCATCGATTCAGAGATGTCTCACCTTGCCTCTTGTTTTTGGTTTCCCCATAACGTAGCTGTTTTAATTCTGAGGAGTTGACAGAACTAGGAAACAACTTCACTCTCTTAGAGCCTGACTATATATATATATATATATCGAGTTGGCATTTATTTTGATGTCTATAGGCTTTCCCAACTAGTCCCTATTCTTTTTCATTCAGATGGCAAAGAGTAGACTCGAGCACTAGCCTATAAATAGCCACTGCATGTGTAACTACTTGGATTAGCTTCATGACTCGAAATCGTTTGGATGGTTGGTGATAGGCTCCAAATAAGGGGGGTGGAATTCAACCACTGCTAGTTTTGTTTCCCTTGCTTGCATGAACGAGTATCTATGCATTGTAGTCCGTCCTAAAGTTGCCTTCAACAAATATTCAAATATTTCTACCCAAAGTCTATTTTTGGGCCTGCGGCAATAGAGAAGATTAACAGAGAAATATAGGTAAAACTAAGTGTAAAAAGGTTTACATATATATGAAAAAATGGATGATTCATCAGGGCCAGCCTTTACAGCAGCTTTATATTCTGCTTATACTCTGGTCTGGACAGGCTGCAGGGGAGGGAAATCAACCATATGGTACCTTTATCGCTTTCATTTTTTTTTTATCCTGTTCTAGTTTCACCATAGGCTGATATAAGTAGATTACACATATTCCACTGGACGTGGATTTCTGTTGATAATTGACATTCCAGAATTTACTTTTCGCAACGAAACAACTTTCAGAGATTCATATGTAGTTTCTTAAAATTCATGTTCATCACCTCATTCTTATCAAAGAAAATTGGGATGCCATATGGGTATTTGATCTAAAATTAAGCTGTCTTAGCTGACTGGCCATCTCTTCTGTTCTAAAGAAGTAGATGTAGTCACTGCATTCAAATGGCTTTTTGTTTGCGAAAAGTAGACGATATGACATCCAAGTTTTGTTGAATTACGTTCATGATAGGGCGGAAGTTTTCTTATAATCAATGGAAGGGGGCAAGAAAATTTGTCTAACTAAAAATTGTAAAAAACTGGACAGAATTAATTAATTAGAGACGCTCCGGATCCAGACTACCCCACTATAAATAGACTGACATCTGACTCCCAAGGCTCAAGCGCGTCCCAAACGGAGCTTATCGTTTCCTGTACGACAATAATGTGTTTTGACAGTTTGAGAGCAAGACTCAAGCGCGTTACTTACTAAAGTTTAGTTTCCCTGTATGATAACGTCTGTGTCCGTCGACCACGAAAGAATCTTCGTTCTTGAAGGTTTCTACATTTTTCTGTATTATTAATACAAACCAACCCTCAAGGAAGAAACACAAGCAGCTGACAGAAAAGGGCCTGCATTTTTTTGAGGGTTTGTGTGTATCACGAAACACAAGCAACAACAGCCGGAAAGAATCCGCAGCTGATTCACTTGCGATACGATGGCAGCAGGCGGCAAAATTCGCGAAAACAAAAAGGAAGAATTTTTGGACCACAAAAAGAAGGTTTCCCTCTTCACTCAATTTAATTATTTCTCGCCTATCATTTCTTAGCTTACGTGATTTTTATCATCTTCTTCTCTCTTGTGCTTCGTCAGTCCAAAAATTCCTCTTAACTGCAATTTTTTTTTTCCTCTGGTGTGTATATTTATCACTTATGGGAGAGATGCATGCGTATCTGTGATAGTACTATTACATTTGAAAAGAACCAAACAAATAAATAAAGACAGACGATATAATGGTTTCGGCCGTGGGTTGTTTGTTGCAGAAAAGATGGGTTGATGAGAAGTCCGGAAATTATTGCTTCATGGTGTACCCAAGATCCTTGTACGTAACTTGGGGACACCAGGAACACTGGGACTGGAAATGCTTCAAGGAAACAAGGTACATAACCTACTAATCAAAATGCTTGATCTAATTTCACACCTCAAAACCCCCTTTGACAGTAAAAATTGACACCATGATTTGATCATTCAAAACTCCTTTATTTGCAACAAAAAAAAAAATCTGGATTCTCATCTTACACTATGATATATAGACTAGACCCATCTAATTTATACAATTCAAGCAATTATACATCTGAACGGAAGCTGATGCCAGTACATAATATATGGATACTTAAATGCTATCTATCAGAATTAGGAAAAAGGAGAAATCCTAATTAATACTCCACTTTGTAACGCATAATTATTAATTCATGCAGCGACGACAACATTGAAGTTGTCAAACTGAGTCACATCTGCTGGTTGGATGTGAGGGGAAAATTCAAGATGTCTGATCTCTCAAAAGGTGCTATGTATGAAGTTGTGTACGTGGTGAAGTTGACAAAGGGCGCTGATGGCTGGGAACTTCCTATCACCTTGAGACTATCTCTTCCAGGCGGAGAAGTTCAAGAACGAAAAGTGAGTCTGTTGGAGAAGCCAAGAGGAGAGTGGATAGAGCTCAATCTGGGCAGCTTTCGGGCGAGCGATGGAGACCATGGTGAGGTCTGCTTTGATCTGTGGGAACATGGAGGACACTGGAAAAATGGGCTTCTTGTCCAGGGAGCAATCATCAGGCCATGCAATTAGTGTCATGAAAGAAAATTACCATCCCTCTCCGTGTTCTTGTGTTACATCACATCACCCTCGGTAGTTCCGTTCAGAAATATGAACTTGTATTGATCACGTCCTGGACAAGATGAAAGAAATTATTCCTATAAATTTATAATAAAACAATTGTTTCTGAAGATCCTCACAGAAAGATTGTAGGATTAGTTTTGGAAAAGTGGAAAATATATTTTTATTAATACTTCGAGGATTGTTATTAATGTACTTGTTTGGATCTTCAGAAGTAAATGTTACAGTAAATACTTCTGAACATCTCACATACATCACATCACAAAATATGTTACAGTAAAAATATCTCAAATAATTTACAATCCAAACAATAGTGTTGTAAATACTGGTAAGACACGGGGAGGAACAAATAATAGCAATTGATAAAAAGAACAAAAAAAAAAAACTAGCAAAAGTTAAAAAGAAGGGGAGAGAGGAAGCCATTATTGTGCAAAGGAAGCCATCTTGACCCCTTAAGTTTTCAGCAAACTTGTTAACAAATTTTGGACTAACTCTATTTTGCACCTCTGAACTTTATATCTCTTTGTCGCTTTGCACCATAAACTTCAATTTTAGACGCTTTCCATACTAAACTGTTATTAAGAACTGGTCACCGCTTATTTATAATGGATGTCATATAATTAATTATTATCATTAAGAACCGGTCATATTTGTATTAGGTCAAGCTTTCTTTCCTGGCTCCCATTTGAAATAACATAAACAAATTACGTTTTGTCAACGAGTACTTGCGTCCAATTTGCACCCACCTAACATGATAAGATGACGATTTCATTGAACAAATTGCTGAATCAATTACTTTAGAACCTCAATCAACCTAATTTATAAAGGGCATAGTTGATATTTGTCTAATCCGACGTCGGTTTGCGTAACAAAGATATATTTTTTTTTTAATGTGATCATGTCAATTTATTCACTTTCATTTTATAGTTTTTTTTTTAAAAAAAATTTTCAAATCAAACGAGAAGCATATCTGTTTGACTCTGTGACATTTTTTTTTTTATTTTAACTATAGATGCATGATTTGAATATTTTTTTTTTTCAAATCTAATAGCGGGAAAGATTCTAACAATCCTAATAATTGACCCTCTGGCACTTGAATAATCGATTCTAAGTTTTAAAAAATGGGTGGACATCATTATCCTCATTTGGAACTTAAGTCCCTCCTTGAGCTGTAGGCGAAGGTTCAAACTTGATATAAATTTGTTGGAATTTAGAGTATAAAGTAAGAAACAATACTTTAGTTTAGTTAGTGATGCAAAAAAAAAAAAAGAAAAAAGAAAAAAGGCTTTACTTTTTATTCGTTAATTTTCCCTTTTATAGAGGTAGGATAACAAATCAACCATAAATATCTCAGAACAAATGTCAAACAAAAAATACTTGTTAACAACTGAACATAATCTTCTACTAGAAAATCTCCTAAACAATTCTAACAAACAAGAAATAACCAAATACTAAAAATGTGAAAGCAACTCCTAACAAGTAGATTTACTCAATTACTATGTTATTTATCCAACATAAACTCTCAATTTTGGAAACTTTGCACCCTAAATTCTTAAGTTTATTCTATTTAAATCCAATCAATGACAGCATTAGCAAAATTAACGGTATAAAAGATCCAACAAATCAATGACAACACGCTGAAAACAGTCAAAAGGTGCCAAGTATCACAGCAAAAATAAGACAGCACATTGTCATTAATTTTGCACCATCTTTTGCCTCATGAATTTTGCTGACAATAATATAAATTAAAGTCATATACTTAAATCAATAACAATGTGCTAAAAGTAGTTAAAAAAAAAAAAGCTTAGAGATCGCAATTAGAATAAAGCGGTACAATATTATCATTAATTTTCATTATCCTTTTCTCGTCAATTTGACAAACATAAGTAGTGATTGGATTTAAATAGACAAGGTTGAGAGTTTAGGGTGCAAAGTATCTTTAATTAAGAATTTAGGATACAAAGTATCTAAAATTAAAGTTTAGGGTGTAAAGTTCAAGCGGAGTAAGTCCAAAAAATTTGGATGCAGTAAGGTAAGGCAGCTGCTTGCATTGGAAATGGCCTCAAGGGAGGTAAGTCCTTCGGGTTTGTTTGGATTGTGTTTTATTTGGAATATTTTTACTGTAGCACTTTTTGTGATGTGATGTGTGTGAGATAAAAAGGTAATTGAGAAGATAAAAAGGTATATTGGAAATTGTAATAATGATGTAAGCAGATAAAATTGGAGAAATAAAACACAATCCAAACAAACCCTTCGGAGGATGAGGTGTGGACTGGTAGTGCTTGTGGGAATTCACGGTTAAAACTTAGAAACGGCTACGAAAATGTTGAGACGCGTAGGGCAACCAGTTTGTGTTGGAGTAAACGCTCTTGCTTTACTCTTTTTTGGACGGACTTTGGAGCATTGCAGCTATTTGTCCACGGAATCTTCGTGGGTTGGGTTTGACTTTGAGGCATTCCAATTCTTGACCTTTTCTACTTGAAGCTAGAAAAGCCGGAGAAAATAGACTCGTCACTTGTTAGTCGTCACTTTCGTAGAACTTTCTTGTAGACCTGCGAATCTCATTGGAGGCTCGTTCATCAACTTGCAGAAATTCCACAAACCGCGTTAAAATGTGGTTGTTGGTTCTGGCTGAGCTTACAACGGCGATGCAGACAGCTTTCAATTCCTGCATGCATGCGCGTCTAAGGAAAAGATCATCCTTCTTCCGTTGATTTCATAAGAATTTTCCTATCCGTGTATGCACAAGTTTCAACTCTCGAAAACATGCTATGGATCAACCAATCATTAAGATTTCAGTACAAACACGCTAACAAAATCATCATCATATCTTTCTCCGTTCCATTCTGCATAACAACAAACATTACAAATAAATAAGTTTCCAAATTGTTAATTACTGATATCCTAAACACTTGAGCACATTCTAGATTAAGTGAGAAGTGTATACTAGTTTATGACTTATTTTTTGAGATAAGTTTTGCCTAGATAATTCGAAACCATTTAATTAATTACGATGTTCTATTTTTTTATTATCAAATACCTCTGAATATGTCAAGGTTTAAATCTATTAAATTTAAATGCTGAATTGTGTTATCAAACGAGGCGTGCTAAGGATTGTAAGTGTTTGTATGGATCCATAGTAGTAGCGGAGCTAGGACCTAAATCCAACTTTGGAGTTGCATGCACAACACTTGCAAACTGTGCTAAGAGTTTTGGCTGATAACCAACTATACTGTAAGAGATCCAAATGCTCATTTGCTCAGACTTCAATAAAATACCGAGGACATGTGATCTCTAAAGCTGGAGTAAGTATGGCTTCAACTAAGATAGAATGTATAAAAACCTGGCCTATTCCCAGTACAGTCAAAGAATTGAGAGGATTTTTGGGGTTAATGGATATTACAAACGATTCATTAAGGGCTATGGGGTGAGCTGTAAGCCTCTAACTCAACTATTAAATAAAGAGAGGTTTGTATGGAACCATAATGCTCAAATAGCTTCTGAAGATCTCAAAAAAGCTATGACTACTGCACCAGTATTGAGCATGCCAAACTTTGAACTTCCTTTTGTAATAGAAATTGATGCATGTGAAGTAGGCATTGGGGCAGTATTGATGCAGCAGGACATCTTGTAGCCTTCCTTAGCAAGGCCCTATCAACCCAGAACCTGGACTGTCAGTATATGAAAAGGAGCTATTTGCTTTAGTACTGGCTGTAACCAAATGGAAGCACTACTTGGTTGGCCATCACTTTGTCATTAGGACAGATCACCAAGCCCTCAAACACCTATTGGAACAGACGCTTACATCCATTACAACACAAATGGCTCACCAAATTGTTAGGCTTGGATTATAAGATACAGTACAAGAGGGGTTCAGACAATGGAGTGGCTGATGCTCTTTCTAGGAGAAGGGTGAGGGAACTAGTGACAGTAATGCAGTTGTACATCAGATATGTGCCATTTCCAGTACAACCAGCTTGGATGTAAGAGTTGCTTGAGAGCTATGATGGGGATGCAGAAGCTCAATAGAAAATATCTGAGTTCCTGTTAGATCCGAATGCAATTTCAGATTATCATCTGGAAAATGGGGTGCTAAAGTTCAAAGGTATGTGGGATCTACTAATAATGTCAAAATCAACTTAATTAGAGCTCTACATGATTCAGCTATTGGGGACATTCTGGTCAGAGGGGTGTTTATATAGGGTACAAACTCTATTCTACTAGCTTGGGATTAAGAGAGATGTCATCTGGTATGTCAGATCTTGTGATGTTTGCCAGAGAAGCAAACATGAAAATGTCCTTTACCCCAGACTGCTACAACCTATACCAGTACCCCAACAGGCCTGGTCATACCTGTCCATGGATTTTTATTGAACAACTTCCTCTATCTCATAGATTTGATACTATTTTAGTAGTGGTGGATCGGTTAACCAAGTTCAATCATTTCATTAAGCTCAATCATCCATATTCAGCACAACAAATAGCTTAGGTTTTTCCTGACAATGTATATAAATTACATGTCTGCCAGAATCAATAATTTCTGACTGAGACAGAATCTTCATTAACAGATTTTGGCAGGAGTTGTTTAGCATGCTAGGAATAAATCTACATTACAGTTTATCCTATCATCCTCTGTCTAATAGTCAAAGTGAAAGGGTGAACCAGTGCCTAGAGAATTATCTCAGGTGTATGTGCAGTAAACATCCTTCACACTAGACTAGTTGGTTACTTACAGCTTAACTTTGGTACAACACTAATTTCCATACAAGCTTGTAGGTAACGCCATTTGAAGCATTATATGGGTACAAACCAAACCATATACCTCTGGGACCTTTCGATTAGAGTATCATACCTGCTACAACTAACATGGTACAGGAAAGGTTCCAAGTTATATCCCTCATCAAGGAGAACCTAGCCAAAGCTCAAAATCGTATGAAACATTTCGCTGACAAACACATGACTGAAAGAGTTTTTCAGGAAAGTGATTGGGTGTTCCTCATGTTACAATCTTATAGGCAGCAGACAGTAGTCATTCGTAGGAATCTGAAGTTGACCGCTAACTATTTTGGGCCTTTCCAAGTTATTGCGAAAATGGGAGCAGTAGCCTACAAACTAAAATTGCTAGAGGGAGCTCGATCTATCCAGTATTCCATGTTTCTTTACTGAAAATGAAGGTTGGGATTACTCAAAC